TCACTTGTGCCTTTCAGGTGAACGACAGCCACTGACCGACAAGAACAAAAGCGACCCGGGAAACTTGGGCAAAAGCCTCGATCCTGTGTATCAATCCGTGAATCCGTGTAAGATGAGGGGCCCATCGTAGGAACCCCCGGCGTGGTTATTGTAGCCTACGACGTAACCTGTTTTCTAACATTTTTGTTGGAAGAAAAATTGCTGTACGTCATTTTCCAGGCGAGTCGCGAACTGTCTCGAATGTAATAGAATTCGTCGGCATTTGCCAGAAAATGTATTTGGCCAAATGAGAATTTTTCTTAGATATCCACATGAATCCTGATAGCTTCGCAAATGTAGGAAAGGCATAGCGTGACGTGGCAGCTACGACAAAATTTTTCACATGAGTCTGTGGACCTACCATACGCCATACAAGATAAACACTTGAGCACAAGTTAGATTGTTGGCGTCTCACAGATTCAAACATAGCTGTGCGCCCTTCCTTGGTCGGAAAGGTGCAGAGAATGTACTCACGAACTAGATACTAGTTGCTTTAAAAAATCTTACCCAAACGGGGCGCCACGTTTGTTTCATCAACATTCACTACATATGGGAATAGTTGCATCAACGCTGTCTGGCGATATAGGGCGAAGCCTACATAGCCGCGTTGAAATTCTGCCTACAACGCTAGCAACCGCTTGGACATGCAAAGCTTTGCTAAAGTGGAAGGAACATCACATTATAAAAATAAAATTCAACTATCCATCACGTGCCCACCAAAATGATTTCCACTTCCATTGGTAATTCTATTTGTCCCGAGTTGTGAGAACCTTGCTGAATTCACCGGCCACGAACTGCTACACCTCACGACGGCTCTCTGTTCCTCATCTGGCCGACCCGTCTTTGGTCAGCCAGCCATTACCCAAAAGTCGGTCACACAAAATCTCGGTAACCTACGGAGTTCAAGATACTAGGTGACTTATCAATGGTTCGCGTCTCCTTAGGCGAAAGCTTACTTAACAGCTGGTGCTTCACGCACTCTTCGCTATCAGTGAATATAAATACGCTCAACATCCGAGCCTCCTCAATTTCCTCAACTTCCCGATTGCCTTGCTGGCCCTCTGTTGCATTTGTAGTACACTTATTCGTAACGTGCAACAGTTCTTCGAATAACTGGTGCACAAAAAACAAGCCATGATTACACATAAAACTTTCGTATTAGGTTTTCGTTTTTGCAAACATTTTTGTTCGACCCCAAATTTGTGTAGCAGTGGGCCTCCTCCTAATGACGAGTTCTAGGTAATGCCAGATAACCCTAAAAATGTAAAGCATGATAAAATTTGACAATAGTGCATAGTTAAAAATTACAACAATATATATCAGATTTTGTGCTTTTTGGTTCTCACAGTCGTACGGGGAACTCCAGCAGAGAGTTTACAGCGAGCGATTTTCTCCGGGCACGTTCGATGTAATCAGCATTTGTGATGTATCGTAACTGATCAACAAAGTGAATAAAATTTAATATTGCAAGCCGTCGGATATCGCTTGGGCGGCTCGTGATATTTTTGTGAATCTCATCTCAAAGTCTCCAAGGAATTGTGGCAAATTTTGTGATACCATTACTAAAAGTCTCTGGCTATTGGTAGCGATGAGATCCATGTGGTTTGTTGTGTGTTATGCAAACTGCTGTTCTGGTGTGCGCAACAAGTGAAAAAGTATCACAACAGAGAGGAAGAGAACTTTTAAACTTTGGAGAAACCAACAGAAAAGAGGAAATAAATGCGTTATTATTTGAACATGCTCAACTTTGATTTTCTGTCTTTTGTAGCCTACAAACGCTACTGATTCTTGAAGGAAATTAGACAACTTCACCCCTTCCATAATACAGTGGAACCTTTTGATTATCGTAGTGTTTGTCGACCCTACATGATTCAGCCACATAATCAAAGTATAATCGGCACTTGATGTGAATCATCGGGGGCCCCAAAGATATTAATCTGCTAGAAGGCCAGGCAAAACTAATGAAGAATCAACACGCATGCGAATCGACAGAGCCTCACAGCGAATGACTGGGGGCCAGAACGCGCCGAAATTTCATGAAACCAAACAACCATTTCACCCCGAACTCTTGAACAAGACAACAAAATCATTGACACAAGAGTTAGTATAACAAGAGTTACAAGTGACAGCCGCCGAAATTTTCGGCCGCGAGGGGAACATATCGTCTCACACAGGCAAAAGTTCTATGCAGCTCGAACTCCCAGGGTGCAAAAAAGGCTGTAGACGAGGAGTAGTTCTAGGAATCATCAAGGCAGGACGCAGACAAGCATGATGAAGCGGCGCTACCAGAGACCTGGAGTTATATAATGCCCACAGCATTGGAGCCAATTATAAAATGCCTCTGGTAGCGAACCCCTTGGCTCCTCATCTTCAGATGCAGGGAGGGCAGTGTTGAATTGCCTGTCCACAAACTGCCTCGGCCTTATCAGTAATGGTCACCATATTAAACTGTCAGATCGCTCTGAACAGCTCCATATAATCTCAAATAAGGAATCCAGGGCCACACCAGACCTCTTTCTCACTCGGAGATATCAACCGAAGGCCAAGTGATGTTCCGAGCTGACTGAAAACGCAGGTGTGTTGGCTTGTGCATACATGCGGTCCCACCCACCCGAAAGCCTCCTTGATAGAGCTCCGGTGCAGAAGTTCTAGTGCACATTTTGCATCAACGCTGAACGAATTCGTTTAACACAGCGCCTGAAATGAATGTCGAACCCAAGAGATGCTTCGCATGCCAATACCATCCTTGCTGGATTTGGTTACCTCCAACGATTAGGTGCTGCGTAAAGCTCCACAGGGTTGTAAGGAACATTGCGTGCTAACCTTTGATCTCATCTATACCTGCGCCGGGGACCCTGACCTAATACGTGGATTCGAGAATTCTGCCATGAAGAATTCCCACAAACGAATAACCTTCTTGACCAATTTAAGCTTGGATCAGACTCAGGGGAAAGGTTAAACAGGCGCATTGTACAGAATATTCACGTATCTGACGCGGCGTTCGTCCCGAAGAAACCGGCACGTAGTCCAGTGGACCAAACGCCATTCAAAGAATTCATCTTCTGGAAACGATGTCGCAACTATTTTCAGAGAGATAAATACAGGTCACACATTTGAGCCTTTATTTCGTAAAATACTGAAGCGTGTAGAGAATATTATGAGGTATAGATTCTGACCCAACCAAGCTCGTCAGATCGAAGCATGTCAATACGTAACTACGAAAGGTTTGTGACTAATCTGGCCACTATGGAAGCAGACGTTCGTGAACTTTTTCAAAATTAAACTCCAGTCATCGGGTTTGGGCCAAAGCAGGTCTAGTTAAGGAACCTTATGGAAATGTCTCTCATATTGGCAAAGAGTTCTACCTGATATTTCGTCGGTCACTCGACGAAAGTAACTTTTCTCCGCTTTGAAGGAAGAGATTGTCTCACAAATCTACATAGCTGTGGAACGCCCATTGTCCGGCATCTGCAAGTCCGTTAGCCTTAATAGCGTGCCGTGCAAGGTGTTGGAACGCATTATGAACCGGGCCATCCTAGATCAACTCACAACCAACAACGTGATATCCTCAGTTCAATACGGATTCTCCTCAAACCGTCCTTAAGTGAAGGACGTGCATGTGTTTATGGACAGCCTAACCCAAACTAAGGACGAAATACTCATATCGGATGCAATATTTTCCTACTTTTCAAAAGCAAACGATCGGGTCTCACGTCCCACTGCTCCATAATCTCGAGTCTTATGTGATTCAGAGGGAAATTCTACGGCAAATTAGGGCATCCTGTAAGATAGAGCACTTCGAGTGAAAGCAGGCTCGATCTACTGTTCTTTGACAGTGGCCTCCAATGGAGTTCCTTAAGGCTATGTTATGGGACCAGTTATGTTTCTGAATTACGTACAGGATGTTCCAGATGTGTTTTCAAGAACAACACCTGAAAACCTAGGATTTAAGTGCCAGTGCCATCCGAACGGACTTAGACACTTAGATCACTGCAAAGCAGTGATAGCCACACCAACACCCTCTGCTGAATGACGAAAAGTGCCTCCATATATCATGCGGAGGAGAGTCAGTGGACACCCTTCTCGTGCATGGTGAGAATAGACAAGGAGACATTACTGTGAAAATGCCAAGAAGGATTCAGGTGTCTGGTTCTTATCAAACATATCTTCCTAACTGCAGCATAAAATGTCGGCTCTCTGGGGTACTGTCAGACAGCTTTTTGAATTCGCTAACCAAGTTATCTACTCATGATGCAAGATAGGGGCGAACTACATTGAGCTGCCACAAAAATGGTTGCCAGCCTGAGACCTGTCGATTATGAAACGCCTCTCGTGGGGCTTTGCCCTTCTCCAGAGGAGTATCATTGCCTCCTAGGAGACTTAATTCTTGCTTATACCCTGTTGGCGGCAGTTTTTTATACTGTTGACCCCAAAAAAGAGGGGACATGGTAGTAAATTTCTCAAGCTCAGAGCACACGACTTTATAACGCAATAATTTTTCTAATTTCTGATAGCTGGTGCGTGGAATAACTTCTTCCGAGGGTTTTCAAGCTGCGTGTAGTACACAGTCTTCACGGCGTTGGTCTTGCTACTCACCACCGAAAACATCAAAAACAGGGCCACAGTTTTTTGGATTGCGCCTTTCAGGTGAATGGGATCAACTTAACGACAAGAGCTAATCAGACCCGGGAATCTTTGGCGAAAGCTTTGATCCCATGCAACGTTCCGTGAATCCGTGAATCTGTGAACCTATGAAAACCTTGTATCTTTTGAAACCCAGAACCGTTATTCGTTGACCCCTTCCTGAAGGTCACAAGGAAGGTCATCGGCTTTGCCCTCCGCCCCTCGTATGGAGTTGAAGCCTCCTGAATCCTTTCGCGGTTACTTGTATAAATGGACCAACTACCTAAAAGGTTACCAGAAACGCTGGTTTGTATTGCAGAATGGATTTGTGTCCTATTACAGGTATCCTAATCTGCTTCTTGTCACTTTGCTTTAGGAATCAAGCAGAAATGGCGCACACATGTCGTGGGACAGTAAATTTAGCTAACGCTACGGTGACTAGTACTGGCTCCACAACTTTCGTCATCTCTAACAGCAGCACACAGACCTTTCATCTAAAAGCAATCAACGAGGCAGAGCAGAAACGGTGGGTATCGGCCCTCCGTTCTGCTAAGTCCCGTGCGTTGGCACTAAAAAAGCATGGTAAGAAGATGTCTATCGTTAGTACTAGTATCGCTACCTCTCTATTTTTCATTTCGTGCAAAGTTCCAAATATGTTCTTGTTTAATTCACACTACCAGTAATCTTTCGTCAAAAGTACGTGCTGATTTTTCCTTTTACTTTATTGACCTGACCCACATAACAGTCGGTGCACCCCTGTGAGACCCAGTTTTTATGAGATCTCAATTCACAGCCAATCCTTACAACTACCCCTGTCTTGGCAGTTAGAATCGACACCATGGGAAACCTGAGCAGCCGCCTGTACTGCAAAGTTAACGAACTCATGCACTGCGTCAACCGGTTCGAGCGGATATCAAGATCTTTAAGTTGTGACAAGGGCGCCAGCACACTGAAAGCACTACGGAACAGTCGTTTTCCGAAGGTAGGAGTTCATAATAATTGCCGTCGATGGAAAACAAGGGGACTCATGAACCGATGCCCGGTAAGCAAGGTTGTACGTCACCAATACTTACTACAACTGTGGCCCGGTTTAATTCCTGCCCCCGACAACAAATCAGTTTACCACGCCCCTTCGAGTCGTTGGAAATACGTGATAGATTTTCTCAAACTGGGCAACTTAGCCGTTTCAAGCCGGTCGGTCGTGTAAAAACATTTTCCATTCCTAAAAGAGTATTCCGCTTCAATCATCCAATTCGCCGTTGCTTCCTTCGGAGACCCATCTTCGGGAGACTAAGTGCTCCATCCTCCATTACTAATTGTGGATGGTGACCGCGGCACCCTGGAGTCGTCAGTTTCCAGTGTGAGACAAGCGGGCGCATACCTTATGTTGCGGAGCCAACGACCTCTATCTCATTCCAGTTTCACTTTCGTTTATGATGCCGGTTCTGGAGTTTTATGTATTCAGCAAATACTGTACGACCCACTCAACAACCCGTCAGATGAGGGATCCCAGCGCGACTTGTATCCGGATTGGTGACAAACCAGAATCGGTGATACTGCGCAGAGTACTACCTTTCCCGTAACCACTCCCGGCAAGTTCACTAGACGGACCCAACCATCTTGAAAGCCTGCACCATTGCCTCCATTGAGTGCTCGATACCATTAAATTCCTAGTTGTATCCTTGTAACGTGGGAAAACTGCATTTCCGCGAGGTTATCGACACGCAGACCTGACGCAACATCTACGACGCCTAGTTTTCGCCATGGCGAAGACGAGGTGTGTCCAAAGCCTCTACAATCTTACAGGTTGATGTGCTCAAGTTCTATGGACATTCCAGATTGATCTCCCCAAGCTTCATCAGATCAGCAGAAACGTGGCTTACGAGTCAAGTAAATGAGCCAGGTCTTCATAGAAGGGTATCGTTCATTTCGACGTGACCTCTAAATGCGTGATTGTGTTAGTTTGGGTGATGGTGATACGCTACCTTTCATCTCTTCTGGAACTCACCCCAAGGTTGGTACGAAAGAATCTGGTGTATAGCGAGGATTCTTTATAAAAGATACAAAAACGCTATCGCCTAGTCTTGTGAATGCGGTTTGCAGCCGCCTTTCCTGCAATGGTCATTGAGAGCAATACCGGAGACTGCTGGGGTTTCACTGCCGCACAACTGTCATTTTGTTTCTTGCAAAGTCTTACATTGGAAAGAAGAAAAACAGGACAGGGAGGTTACCTAGGGTTGCCCTATTGTAGTCACCTTGGCTTCCAACACAGTCGGACAGTCTGGACAGAAACTGACATCATGAACGCCACTGGCTTCGGTCAGCCGCCGCATTGTTCAGTGCCTCCAGCGAGGCCAAGGAGGGTCACACGGGCCCCAGGCTTCTCGTAACAATTTTCGTTTACCGTGCCAATTCGTCTCCAATTCCAGCTTTCCTCCATTCCGGATTAGTCACGGAAAGCAATACTCTTTTCAAACGGTAATTCGGGAAGCGTAACCCATCACCCAACAACCTTAGCCTGGAGTACTTGATGCGGCTGCTTCATCAAAGATCCATTTCCTGATCTTAATCGGGATTCGCTGGGTTCATGCGATTCCAGCTATAATCTTGAGGTATCGGCGGTCAAAATCCTGAATGTGTCTCATGTTCTCCGCCCGTGGAGACAATAGCACTCCGTACTGCAGCCTGTAGGCCTAGTGATGTGCCCCTTTGATGCAATCAGGGGCCCGAATTGTCAGACACAACTCCGGCCTTTGAGATTCGTTCGTTCGTTTTGTCTGTGACGCTACCGTCAGCTGAAGATGACCACCGTCAAGGCTCCCGTGCAATGTGTATTGTCCCACGACCTCCACATCCACTCTTTGAAGCCTTAAAGACGCCCGCAGCATAACACGGTACTTTGTGGGGCACGAAACATATGCCGAATGGCCGGATGATTGACAAGCTTTTTCAGTAATGCTTGTGCTTTCTGCTCATTTTCAAAGATGTCACCTTTTCGTGGTGGTCGGCCTTCTGTGCTGCAATGATCCTGCGGGATATACTGGCTGGAACTCCGTTCCTAAAGGTTCGACCATGCCAAGAAGGCCGGCTCCGGGAAGGGTACCAGAAGAAAGCCCTACTGTCCACTGCCTCGTGGGTCAAACTTTTAAGTCAGGGGCTAAAGGCAGGGTCCCCGAACAAAGCCCTACATTCCCCCACTGCCTTGTGGGTCAGACTTTTGAGTCGAAGGCTCAAGATGGGGTAACTCAACTAACACCCCTTCGTATAATGCAGTGCGATCAACCCATCTGCCAATCACATAGCCACTGTTCCATGTTTCAACCATCGCCCAGAAAAAATAATCGCTTACTTACTTCAAATGATCTGATCCACATTACAGCCTTTAATTTCCGTGCTCTATGTCAAATTCGGCAACAGGCGTCCCTTGCTAAAACCTTACTTCCCCCTATTGATGTATGTTGTGTCTCCGAAACGCTCATACATGACCCTACTTCGGTCGCGCTCCTCAAGCCACTTGGGACGAGCCCAGATGTTCCACATTTTACTCTTCGGGCATCCGGTGATCCTGACGCAATGGCTCGTTGCTCGTGGCCCGAGCCTTACAGATTCGTGCATTCACCTCATCTGTCACATTACAATGCAACTTTCAAGATACGTAAAACGCTCCACAACTTGCAGTATCTCTTCCTGGATTGTAAGTGGCCTGTTCAGTGACTGCACGTTCACGAGCATGACCTTACACTGTGGGTGCAAATTACGTACCAAAGTATGGAATGACTTTGGTCAGTTCGTCTAAAAATACCGGTGCCTTCTCCTTTTCGAAGATAAGAACGGTGTCGTCTGCGTACTCCAGATGAAGTTCGCAAACATAGTAGGCTCTTTGTATTCCCAGACTTCCGGACGTGTGAGAGCATACGGCGAGCTCTCCAAAAGCTTCGGTACACAAAGTAGTGTCCGACAGGGATGCCCACTCTTCCCATTACTGTTCAAATTCGTGATCAATGAAATCATTAGATGAACGCTGGAAGGTCTCCAAAACCCCAATGTTCAAATAGCCTTGTCGATCTGGAATGTGCAGACGACATCGTTCTCATCTTCGATGAGGGGAAGGCGCAAGTATTTTTGAATGAACTGATCAAAGTCATCCCGTCCTTTGGTATGCCATTTGCATCCAAAAAGTGGGGTCATGCTTCTGGACATGCAGTCACTGAACACGCCACTTACAATCCAAGGAGAGGCACTGGAAGTTGTGGAGCGTTTTACCTATACTGGAAGTTGCATTAGTTCTGACTGCAGTGTGAGAGATGAGGTCAATGCACAATTTGCAAGGCTCGGGTCGCCTATGGCGTCAGAGTGGTGTATCCCTGAGTCTCAAGGGACGTGTGTATCAAGCTACAGTGTGGGCTGTTTTGTTGTATTGCTGTGAGGCTTGGCCTATTCGAGCAGTGGAACTGAGACGTCTTCAGGTGTTCGACAATCGTTGTCTCAGAATCATAGCTCGTGTGGGTTGGTGTCAGCAAATCCGCAATGAGGCAGTTAGAAAGCGCGTTTTCGGTTGTGCGACGAGTACTTCCATTGAAGAATGTGTCTAGCACAAGAAGCTGCGTTGGTTGGGACGTGTGTTGCGTATGCCGAACCATCGTTTGCCAAAGAGAGTGCTGTTTTCCATACCCAATTCAGAGTGGCGTAAGCAGAGAAGTGGCCAATCCTCGACTTGGCAGAGGAGTATGAAGGAGATCAAGAGACGCTTGGGTGCTGTCGGTGCTACTCGCCTTCCAGGATGGAGACCGCGTGTTTCTCACTGCGCCTGGTTGGAGACGCTACAAAATATGGCTACCAACCGATATCAAAGGCGTTCTTGTTGTCGGTTTCTATCCGATTGCCTGAGTGGATGTCTGGAGGTGTAGGCACCTCGGAATGATAGTGGTAAGCTAGCATTAAATCTCCTCCTCGTCCACCTTTTTTCTTTTTACAATAAGGCTTTCAAATAAATCATGGATGTACGGCGGTGGAGCATCGGTGTTGAACACTGATTTCATGCTGTCGACGATGATGGTGATGATGATAAAGATGATGAGGCTTGTGCTATTCTCTGTGCCTCTTTGAGAATGACGCGACCCGTGAGGTGGACAACGTACGACTTGGCAGAAGGGTGTGATGGAGATTACGGGGAGTTTGTGTTTTTTGCGCCTTTCTGGATGGGGTCCCCGTGGCCGCTCCTGCGGTTGCCTGGATACATTGCAATAAGTGGCGCCTGATCGACGTCAGTGCCGTCCGTGTTGTCAGTTTGTTTCCAGATTGTCTGACTGAGTACTTAGTGGTGTAGGCATCTCGGAATGCTTGGCTTATGACAGTTCCCCTTCCTCACCCACTCTTTTCTCTTCACGTACCACGCGCTCCTCCGGAGTCGCTTCTCCCCACCCTTCCCCGGGTCGCCTAATGG